GCCGCCGAATTGCTGCAGAACAGCCCAACGTGCCGCCCCTTCCCCTTGGCCGCCCCAAGCACCTGCTTGCTGGGCTGGTGCCTGGAGCTGGCCCTGCCTTGTCTACACTCTTTTGTTTTTTCCCTTACAATTTGCCATTATTGGGAGTGCTAACGTATACAAGACTTACCATTGTGTCATCTATACCTGCTCTGAGCTGGCTTAGAGGAAATGGTGCTTAAAATGTGAGAGACTTCCTGGAGCCATCTGCCCTAAGGCTCTCATCAATATTGCCACTCATGTAGCTCAACTAGCGGGAACAACGGTGGGATATTTTGGGACCCTATCCCCAGGCAGGGGACAACCAGCTGAGTACTAACTCTGGGGGGGAAAAGCCATCTACTGAATCATCAATGCTACCTCCAGCAGCACAGTGTCTCCTAACTCTCTGCTGGGGGCACTAGGTCAGTGCTGAGTTAGACTGGAAGCTGTATGGGGCAGAGACCATCATTTTGTTCTGTGTTTGTACAGCACCTAGCACAATGGGGGGTGGTGGTCCATGATTGGGGCTCTGAAGCGCTACCACAATACATGCATAATAACACTACCTACTGAATCACCAGCGCTGGTGAGGTCTCCTCTCCTTACCTGGCAGATTCTTTCCACTCCATTTCTTCCCCGTCGTGCTGCAGTGTGTCCATCTCAGTGAACAGGGTGGGGTTTGGAGGGTCATCGTCTTCACCCAGGATGTAACGAAGGCGTTCAGCAGCTGGAGACACTAAAGCGAGGAGATAAAAAGAGTTCATTTAACCCTGGACAACTGTGGATGGTTCTAGGAACCTTGTGAGAATGAGCTTTCTGGTGAATATGTCCTGGTTACAGCCATGGAGTCACAGAGTTCAAGGTCAGAAGGGACCATCAGATCATACCTCACCTCCTGTATAGCACAGATCACCACCTGCACACCAAGCCCAACCACCAGAATAAGACCAAAGTACTACAGACTTCAGGAGGCTAAACCATTGAATGCCACAGGTAGAGAATACCAATGGCAAGGAACTGATACTGAGATATACCTATCCGGACAAGAAATATAAAGACTGCAGCTTTGCTTGTGATAATTTGGTCCTTTCAAACTCAGCCCCAGTCAGAACCAGGAACCAAAGCAAGAAAATGGAATTTGTTTCTTCAAAATGTTTTGTGGGTTTGAATTTTGGGTGGAGAGTCAGATCAGTTTAATCAAACCTGGCCGCCTGTTGGGGAAACAATCTTTGATTTCTCTTCCGTTTTGCTCATGCTGAAAAATCGACTTGGGAAGACCTCGCTGGGCATCTCGTGCTGTAGCGATTGCAGCAGGGTTCTTTGCTGCCAAAAGTGCAGTTGTAGCAGTCCATTCGGGCAGCCTGAGCAGCAGCCCCCTGGCTCTAGTTTTCTAGGAAAGACGCTGCAAAGACTAAAGGGGTAATTTTGATGGCAAACAAAAGTGATTCAGCATTTTTGGGGCAGCAAGATTAGTCACTCCTGACCCACAAAGCTTTGGACAAACAGAAAGGAGGGTGAGGGTGGAGGAGGGGACCAACAGGCATATCTTAGATCCTGTAGTGAAAAGGACATTTGGAGGACAATAAGCCGTTTGAGGGAACAACTCATTCAGAAACAAGAGGCCCATTGAGGAGCAAGGAAGACCGAGACAATAAAGCAATTCAGGCCAAGTTTCCTCAACAAAGAGGGCTTGAAATATAGAACAACTGGCAAATGTAATGAATGGAAGGTGCACACTCTCAATTTTGGTAATCAGTGGATACAACCACCAGCTAGATTCAGACGGTGAAATCCTGGCCCCATTTAAGTCAATAGGAATTTTGACATCGGTTACAGAAGGGCCAACATTTCACCCGTTGAATTTAAGGCCAGAAGGGACCATGATGTTCATCTAGTCTGCCCTTCTGCAAAACACAGGCCAGAGAATTTCATTTCCTGCACCACGCACATATTTGTGGTTGAGCTAGAGCATATATTTTTTTCTGAAAGTGACATCCAATTTTGTTTAAAGACATCAAGTGATGGAGAATCTACCATGTTCCCCAGGGAAGTTGTTCCAATGGTGAATTGCCACACCGTTAAAAATCTGTGCTTTATTTCTAACTTGAATGTATCTAGCTCCAGCTTCCAGGCATTGGATCATGTCCTGCCTTTACCTGTTAGATTAAAGATCCCTCAGCTATCCCCAGGTATTTATGGACTGAGCTTCTTAACTCTTTGGACCCGCTGGGGAAGAAACATGACAAGACATGGTGACACTCTTTGTGGGTTCTAGTGCAGGGTCCTGGATCAGGAAGGTTCCACCATTTCAGTGAGAAATTCTGGCTTTGCGGCAGTGCATGGCTCAGGGGACTGATAAGTGGATACAGAACATTTAACTTCCAAGTCACCAGCTAGAATCCAGTCCAGGTTGGGGAGTGACTGATAGTTATAATATAAATATATGGAGCTATACCTATCTCATAGAACTAGAAGGGACCCCGAAAGGTCATTGTGTCCAGCCCCCTGCCTTCACTAACAGGACCAAGTACTGATTTTGCCCCAGAGCCCTAAGTGGCCCCCTCAAGGATTGAGCTCACAACCCTGGGTTTGGCAGGCCAATGCTCAAACCACTGAGTTATCCCTCCCCCACCTGATACCTGGTGCTTGGTGGCCTATGTGAAATGAGTTTGGTGCAGCCCAATCCCAGTGCACAAGTGTCCATATAATAAGAAATACCAGCACAATTGCCCTTTCCATCACATCACGCTGGTGGCTTCAGTGGAGAAGCCAAGGCTCGTATAGGTTACGGAGATTGAACCGTCCCACCTCCAGCTCAGGGAGGGATGTTGAGAAGCTTGCTTTGTGCTGTGCCTGCTGCAGTTAAACATAGGACTTCAGTGTCCAGAGCTGTCATGCCAGCATCTTCTACCAGCAATACAGCCCTGTAAGAAACAAGAAACCCTGGTCTCTAGCACAGGGGGAAATTTTGTCGCCCCCTTTTCTATGCTTTGTTTTCCTTCGGACATTGAGCCGAAACATGAGGTCGTTGCTCAGACAAGACTTCCATTGATGTCATTGGGAGTTTTGCCTGAGTGGGAGCTGTACAAATTGGCCCAATGTTTCGCTTTTAGAAATTGTATTTTTTTTCCTGCTGTGATATGTGAGTTGGTGGAGGTCACTCATTCACCCGTCTTTCAGCCATCAAATTCAAATCTGTTTCAGGGCTCTCTCTTTCTATTAATCTATTCTGGGATTTTCTCCCCCTCCGTCCCCCCTTCTCAACATTTTCTGTCTCTCTATCTCAGAAAGAAAGTGAAATTCTGAGATAGATAGAGAGAGAGAGAGAGAGAGAGAGAGCTTCTTAGAGTTTTGCGTGCTCTCTCGGTCTCAGAGTTTCCCTTTCTTGCTTTCTTTATGGCTCAAGCCTCTGGAGCAAAGCCTAATGCTCCTGTCATAACAAATTAACTTTGTTTCCCGCTAAGTGTTGAGGGGAGAAAAGAACAGTCGAAACAAGCTCCGCTATTGAGCGGCTGCGTCAGAGTAAGCTTAGGCCTGTGGCTGTGGTATGTCACCCAGGGATGCGGACAGAAGTTTCAGCAGCACAGGACATTTTTAATTACCGAGAGAGCCGGTTCATTCCCTTTGAATTGTTCCGCCTGAGTGACTCTAATGCATTCCCTGTAGCCGTGTGAGGGGGGCAGGCAGGGGGAGAGCACACACTTGCCCTCCTGACTGCTTGCTCCATCGCTGAGCGAGTTTGGTGGATTTTCTCTTAAATCTCTGTGTTCACATGTTTTTAGATCTCTTGGCAGCGTGCAAGGCGGCTGGCAACAGCCAGCGCAATGCTAACCCACTGCTGATGTGTGTGAGGTTAAGAATAAATGCTACTTTAGCCAGGCTAGGAGAGACAAGGCCTAGTGGTCTGAATACTGGGCTAGAAGCCATGAACTCCTCAGTTCTAATGGCATCTCTTACCTACAGAGACAGCATTTCTTAGAGTCTAAGGAAAGATAATGATAATCTATTATTATGATATCATTATTCCATGCAACACAGCCCAGGGAATTTCACGCAGTGATTCCTGAAGTGGATGGGGGTTATCCACTCCCCTGGTGTAAGAGAACACTACTGAGTTCTACTCCATGATTTGTATCAACGGAGCGCCTTGGAGTCCTCATCATGGACCAGGACCCCATTGTGCTAGGTGCTGTACAAACCCAGAACAAAAAGCTGATGGTCTAATTATAATACAAGACACTACATAATGAGATGGACAGGCAGGGGAGTTCAGGGAAAAGTCGAGACTATATTGGCAGTCTTCTTGAAAGGTATCCAGTCGTGATTTAAAGACTCCTAATGATGATGAATTAACTATTATTTTGAGTGTCTCCATGAAAATGGGAGTAGTGCTCACCGCTCACCCAGAGTTGCTGTGGGTATGTTGAAGATAGAAGGCCCTAGAGACGTGCGTGATAGAGAGGCAGGGTAATCCAGGGCTTAGGGCACTGAAGTAGGTCCTGTCTCCGCCAGTAACTCACTGGGTGATCTTGAGCAAGTCACTTTCCCGACCTGGGAAATGGGGAGAACAATCCTGCTTTTTGGTAAGGAGCTTAGATGGAAAGCACTGAGTGATAAATAAGAATATGCATGATTAATAATACCCAATTAAATAGCCTCTTCTGCCCCATTCTGAAAAGCAGCCATCACTACAATAATTCAGATGAATTCTAACTGCATCTGCATGCTGCTGTCCTTACACGAAAGTTTGGGGAGTTAGAAAAGTATCCGTTTTTATAAAAGTGCCATGTTCTCCACTATAGCATCATTACACCAGAAGTGATTCACAAACTTCCCCACACAACATAACTAGGAATCATTCGCTCCCTACTGAATGGTGTGAAACATGACAACTGTTTAACAGAACCTAGCTACATCACATGACAACTTAAGACAGGAAGCTAAGAATCTATAGGTGCTCCCAATGAGTATCTGTCGTGGCTGCTGCGGGAACTTTTGCCATGTTAAATTCCAGCTGAAATAAAGCTGCTCCCTCTTTGAATGGCATTTCAGAGGGACCATTCTGACCCTCTAGTCTTACCTCCTACACAGCACAGGCCATAGAATTTCACTCCGTGATCCTTGCATTAAGCCCATAACTTTGGTTTTGGGACTCAGCTTTGACTGTCACAACACACGTTCCCTCTCCCCGTACCAAAGCATACATTTGAGTGGAAAATGCCAGCATTCTCTGGCCTCGTCTATGCTTGTTAATGGATGGGATTTTCAAGTGACTAAGGTAGTCAAGCACTTAACTGCCTCAGATGCTTTTGCAAGCAGTGCGGTTAGAGCGCTGGACTGGGAGTCAGGACACTCGAGTTCTATTCCTGGCTCTGCCGTTCAGCAAGTCACTTCCCCACTCTGTGCCTCAGTTTCTCCCATCTGTGAAATGGGAATAATGATACTGTCCTTTGTAAAGAGCTTTGAGATCTACTGATGAAAAGCTCTGGGCATTACTATTTCTCCTACTGTGCTAACAACAGCTAAATTCCGCTGGTGGTAGCAACAGTGGGAGCACAGATATTGACAAGGCTGTTTTTTCTAACTCCGCTCAGAGCAGATCTAGACAACATGGTGATAAAACCACCGATGGCTGGTTTATGCTAGGTTTCCCACCAGCGATACCGGTGTAGGGGAACTGGTGCAAGAATCATGGTGGGAGATGTTAATAAAATTGCTGGTGTAGAAAAGACATGGGAGCTAAAAAATGGGCAGCGGAGGAGAGGTAGCACAGACAACCAAGATGGTCACAGTTCTCTAGTTTCTAATTTATGAAAAAGTCGTGCAGAATAATAGAAAGTGGTAGCGTTTCTGTAGTTTTGGTATCATCCTATTTAATGCGATAGAACAGGAGAAACTTTCTATAGATTACCTCAACCACCGTACTGAATTTGAGAGATAATTATCTCTCCCTGCTGTAGAATTCTATGAGATGGTTTGGAAAACCTACACAAAGGGTCACATTCATCATGAAATTCTATAAGTTTTTCAGAGTAATTTCGAGGGAGCCTTATTACATTTCTAAAACCCCTATTGTTTCCATCCCTATTTCATTGTATAGGACTTTTCTATGAATGGAAGGAACATGAAGGGGCCACGGGGAACAGGAAGCCTCAAGGTGACCCATTAACAACTTCAATGTTATGAAGGGCAATTGATAAAGCTGACTGAGAATTCTCCCAGGTGAGTGATTCTAAACTGGGGCCAGAAGCTAAAAATTAGGAAAGTAGAACTAAAATGGAGATAATCAGGGAAATACCATGTGCTAATGGAATAAATTACTAGGAAGGGCACCAAAACACAACACATAAGGAAGTTCCAGGCATCGTGACCAATTCAACCAGGCTCTATGCTGGCTTCTAACTGTGTAGATGTAGCCCATTGGTCAGTGTGGGTTACAGGTCCTCCTTTGTCCGATCTGAGGAAGAGCTAATGCAATTGTTGGATGCATAAACAGGGGAATTTTGAGTAGGGGTAGAGAGGTGATTTTCCCTCTGTATTTGGCACTGGTGTGATCACTGCTGGAATCCTGTGTCCACAATTCAAGAAGGCTGTTGATAAATTGGAAAGGGAAGAGCCACAGAATCATTAAAGGATTAGAAAACCTGTCTTCTAGTGATAGACACAAGGAGCTCAGTCTTTTTAGCTTAACAAAAAGAAGGCTACAGGGTAACTTGATTATAGTCCATAAAGTACCTACACAGGGAACAAGTAGGTAATAATGGGCCCTTCAATCTAGCAGAGGAAGGTCTAACACGATCCAACGGCTGGAAGTTGAAGCTAGACAAATTCAGACTGGAAATAAGGCGTACATTTTTAACAGTGTGAGTAATTAAAACCATTGGGACAATTTACCAAGGAGCGTGGTGGATTCTCCATCACTGGCCATTTTTACATCAAGACTGGATGCTTAGTAAAACATCTGCTGTAGGAATTATTTTGCGGAGGTTCTACAGGAAGGTCAGACTAGATAATCATAATGGTCCTTTCTGGCCTTGGAATCAATGAAATCTACAAAGCTCTGGAGGTCCCCAGTTCTATCCCCTTATGTGGGCCATTCAAAGAGACTTCTAATGACAAAGTGGCCAGAGCCTACCTGTCACTGGAAGGCCCACTTGTACCCTAAACTGCCAACGCTACCACCATTTCTGTTGATGGGTGGGGTTGTGTTTGATACACAGGAAGTCAGACTTTCAGTGGTTCTCAACCTGCGGCACACAGCTGCGGCCCATGTGACATCCTCAGGGCCATACAGGTAGTATTGTATGTGGCCCACAATGGTAAATAGATTGAGAATCATTGGATTAGATGATCTGGTGGTTCCTTCTGACTTTAAACTCTGACTTATTGAGTAACTCTAGTCAAGGCAACAAAGGAATGTGGTCATTCCCCACAGCCCCTCAGTAGCATCTACCTACCTATGTAGGTGCTACATATCGCTGGGGTAGCGGAGACTTCTATGGAGCCTCGGCTAGAAGGCAAAGATGGTGAGGGACGAAAAAGGCAGTACTATTAGCAGCCCTCCCTCCCCGTGAATCCTGTACTGAGTCTCAGGCCAGCTCTGGCAATCCTAGACCATTGTCTATTTCTGGGGGATTTGCAGGAGATAGTAGAAAAAGTAGGAAGGTGGGATCTGCCAAATAACGACAGTCATGTTGGGCCAGGAGGCTTTCCCTGTTCCTAAGATTCCTTAACAATCTGCTCATTTAAGGGCCTACTTTATGCAGAGCAGAACACACCAGTTATTGCAGGCCACAAGACTCTCGCTAGGAATCTGGCAGAAGAACGTGCCATGCGCCCGGTGTGTTGGAATGCTATTCACTCGTGCTATTTGGGTCCGCTTCCAAACAGCTGAAAAATGCCTGCGGCGGAGGAACACCTTTGTTCAGAGGTAATACCACTGTGGGATTCCCAAGGGAGAGATCCTTGGGCCAACTGCAAGGCGGTACTCGTACGTTATCGCATGGCACGTCCAGAGGTGCCACAATTTATGTAAATTAGTGGGGGAGGGGAGAGCAGGAATGAAAATGCAGGAGTTCGGAAGCGATGTTGAGGGGGGACATCAACAGGTGAGTCAAAATTGATGGAGACACGTCCTTTCTCTTCCCCAAGCGGTTACACCAATAGGCACATAGGACACAACATACACAACTTAGGCAGAACAACTACATTAATGGTGGGGAAAATTCCCAGAGTGCTTAATTCCAGTACTTTTACTAGATTTGGACTATGTGACTGGTCTAACCTATTAATTTTAAAAATCAAAAAGATTTCCCCCCCTTTCTAATAATCAGCACATGCGAAAAATGTACAGAAGCATTCGGCCCTTCCCGTTATAGAAAGGTGGGATCAAAAAGCTAAGTACTATGGGCCAAGTATTGGGGCAGCCAAATCCCTTGGGATGGGGAAAGAATGAATGAATGGAGAACACACACACACACACACACGAGGTACACTCCTAAGTGTGAGCACCTCTCTGAACATCCAGTCACTTTGCCTGCCACTGCAGAATTGCTGCCTTCAGCACATTTGCTAGTGTTTTGTCCAATCTGGTTTATAAATTCCCACCCTTTCCCTTGGGAGACTATTCCACAAGCCAACAATCTCACTATCAGGCAGCTCTTCTGATATTCAGCCTAAATGTTCTCGTCATTCATTCAACTGCTTTAGATGATCCTTCCCTGCTCCTGGGCGCTTACAGCCTTCAAGTATTTCCAGGCAGTTATGACTGGCCCTTCGTTGTCACTTAGCCAAGCTTAGCACGTCTACTTCTTTTGATCTTTCCTCCTAAACCTGCCCCCCTCCAGATTCTTCTTCTTCCTCCTTTCAGAACTCCTTCCCATTCATCATCAGTATCCTTTGAGCCATGAGATACACAGAAATGACCACAATACTCAAGGTGTGGTCATGTCAGCGTCATACAGAGAGGTGCTTTTTTGAAAACGTTACCCTCAGTCATTGGGAGTATGTCTATATCGCAATCGCAGGGTGTGACTGCAGATCAAGCTTTAGTCTACCTAGTTTGGCCCCTGGATTCGTGAAGCCATGGCAATGAAAGCTTCAGCATGGCCTATACAAGACTGAAGTGGCTTCACTGCTGTGGGACCCAAACTAGCTAGCTTGGGTGTGGCTGCCTGAGTTGCAATCACACCTGTGACTGCAGTATAGGCATACCCTTTGGCCCTAAGTCCTCTTTCAATGGGACGTAGGCTACCATGGCCCAGATTCTCAAAGGGATTTAGGTGTCTAACTCCTGTTCATTACATGGTTTTGAGAATTTTACCCAGGTTGTAGTATATCCCCATTCTGGGACATAACGGCCTGCCCATATACAGGACCAAAAATCAGACAAAGGGCCAGATTCTTGGCTGGTGTGAATCAGTGTCACTCCATTGAAGATATTGAGCCAGGTTCAGTGAAGCCAATGGACCTATGCCAATTTACACTGAGTGAGGTTCTGGTCCACGGCGATAACTCATGAAAATAGAGAATGAACATGAGGTAGAGACAATTCCAGAAAAACTCACTCTGGACTCATCCACACGAGAAGGTCGCACCGGTATAACTTGAGGTGTGAACTGAAACCAATAGAATGACACTGGCGTAAAAGACTCTGTGGACACTCTTATTTTGGTACAAGAGAGGCCTTTTCCCAGTTTAGTTTAACCTGTTCCTGATTGACCTGAGCTAAACCAAAATAAACCACCCCTATACTGAAGTAAATGCCCACACAGCCTTTTGCACTGGTTTATATTGGTTTCTCATGTCGACAAGCCTTGAGTCGACGTATATATTGTAGATCTTACAACGCTCACGCTACTTATACTCAGGCCTGGTCTACACTAGGACTTTAATTCGGATTTAGCTGCCTTAATCCGAATTAACCCTTCACCCGTCCACACTACAGAGCCAGTTAATTCGAATTAAAGGGCCCTTTAAATCGATTTCTGTACTCCACCTCGACGAACGGAGTAGAGCCTAAATCGATTTTGTTAATTCGAATTAGGGTTAGTGTGGACGCACACCACCGAATTACTGTGTTTAAGTTAATGGGGTAGTGTGGCCGCACACCACCGAATTAATGTGGTTTAAAACCGAATTAAGGTGCTTAGTGTGGCCGCGCACAATCGAATTTATACAACCTGTTTCCCAAATTCGAATTATCTAAATTCGGATTAATCCTGTAGTGTAGACATACCCTCAGTAGACATCCTCATTCTGACATTTCTCTCCCCCTTGTAAGTGGTTCCCCTCTTATATACAGTCCTGAATCTTCTAAGTTTACATGGCATGCTTATCCAAACAAACACTCCCCCTCCAAAGTTGTATAAAGTAAAATAATCCCCCCCAAACAAGAGCGACACCCATTCTACATGCACGCTGGGTTCAATCCAGTAGTAATTATCATATTCCACACTTCCTCAGTGCCTTCCACTCGAAGGTCTCAAAGCACTTAACAAATGATTACAAACTTAGCATCAAACACTCCCATGAGGTTGGCAGGGCATTGCCCCTCCCCACACTGCCCCCTCCCTTTGTTTTACAGGGGAGGAAGTGGAGGAATACGGAGTTTACCGGACTTGCCCTAGGTCACACAGTGAGCCTGTCTAGACCCATCCAGCCATGTTCTCCTCCTGGCCCCCCCATCATCACAAGATCAGAATTTGTGGCAGAGCCACGAATAAAATGTAGGCCTCCTGATTCTTCTGATAGTTTTTCCCCTGTTATGAAGAGAAACCATCTTCAGCTCCTTTAATATCCCCTGCTCACTGGCCTATGAAGCATCATGTTCGTAACAGACATGGCTGCAAATGGAGAGACTTTTTTGTGTCTCTAACTTGAGGGCTAAATCTCCTCTCCAAATTGCACAGGAGAATCTCTTCCAGCCTATTCCCCACTCCATGCGTGCGCCTGAGTTACACATAAGAACCACCTTTGGAGAACTGTGCTCTGCAAAGCTAAGAGGGGAGTTTAGACCTATGCTTGCAGGATCAAATCTGGATTCAAACTTCCGGCATTGAAGTCAATAGAAATTTTGCCTGAGTGGCCCACGTTACAATTATTATTTTTAACATTCTAACAATACTCTTGGCACATTACAAAATAAAGATACAGTCCCTGTACCCAGAAGGACTTATACTGTTAGAACCAATTTTGTCTCCTAATCACCCTGGCATTTCACTATGTAACCTGGATACAAGGACAGGAACTTCCGCAAAGGTGCAGAGCTGCTGGTTTGGGTTGGGAGGGTTGTCTCCTCCGCTGTTGGTGGCGAGTTGCTCAAACAAGGGTTTAACCCAACCACATGTCGGTCTCCTCGGACACCGTGTATTTGAATAAACTGTTGGGTTTTAGCACTCTCTTAATGTGTCAGATGTTAATCCACTTATGAAAATGTCTTTGTTAACGGAATCCCACTGCTCTAGAACTTGGAAATAAGAAAGTCGGCCAAATACGGTACTCAAGAAAGGGGCTAATTAAATTGGTACATATGTGTAAAAGGAAACCTCCTGCTGCAGCCAGAAATACAGCCTTTCCCGTCCCTAAAAATCAGGTGAAGCAGAATTCATAACTGCCGTGAAAGACTAGGACGTCCATTGCATTATAGTTTAGCCGGCTTTACTGCTTACGACCCTTAAGCCACACCACCAGAGGCTTGGTCATTATTATGATTAATTATTGTCATGCTCTGAGGCTCTGGTTGGAATCAGGGGCCTGTCGTGCTAGTTGCTGCACCAACACAAAGGAAGACACAACCCCAGAGAGTTCACGACCGACATACATTAGGTACATTTCAGAATCTCTCTTGCAAAAAGCAATGCTGGGATAAAAGCAGAGGATCTGAGCTGAGAGGCCAGTAACGCTTTCTGATCCGATCCCTCAGCCCTGCAATGGTATGGGGAGCTCACGGACATGAGAATAAGGATGGTATCAGTCCCCTTCTATTGCAATGCTACAGTCACTTGAGCTTCAAGCTCTGCACCCTGATGATGCTGATGTATTCTTTGCATTGTGGTAGCAACATGGGGCCATAAGCAGGGATTGGGACCCCAGTGCGGTAGGCACTGTACATGCACAAAACAAAAAAGCCCCCCTCCTCTG